GAGGGTTAAAAAAAAAGACACTGAAGGTTTCACATTTCTAATAAAGTGTTAATGCACCAAGTCATAGCTTAATTGTAAGAAAAATAAAAAATCCATCCAAGAGGAGCTCAGTCTCTGCCCTCCTTTGCTCCACTCCTGTAAATCTTCACGGTCAGAGATCAAACTGCCTGAAGGCATTTCCAGTATAAAAAAGTCTATGTAAAGTCAAGTGCAGTTAGTAGGCATGGTCTGTCCATTTTATTATTTTCCAGGTAATTGTATCCATGCCAAGAAATTGATTAGCTATCCCTTTTCTGCATTACATTTAAAAAAATCTGCACATATAATTTTTTCATTAATCAAAGCACTGTGTTTCTTATTCATGATGCCTCAAACGTATCTGCTACCGCGGTGGGATGGCTCTCATCTCCTCGGCTGTAAAGGATTCACTTTCCTTTGTATCGACGCTGTTGTTATGAGGCAGCAGTAGAAGCATTTGGCAGATGCCTCGGGCTCCAGTGGTTCGGTGAAAGTAGATCTATGAGGAGATGGAGCTTAGTCATAAGTTGAGAGAGGAAAATTCTTCCACTTTGTTCTGTAACTACTGGGTCTCTAGTGAGTGTCACTTTGTTGAGGGAAACAAAGGTTACATTTTTGCTGCAGGATCGACTCAAAGGGTTTCGGAAAGGGAACTGAGCCGAGAATGAGGTAAGTGTATGGATTTTAAAGTCTGTGACTGATTAGCAGTGGGGAGGTTCCCAACCTGAACAAATCTGCTTGTAACGTGTGTAAATATGACCATTAAAATCTAGCCAAAACCAGCTGCCTTTAATGACATGCAAAATAGAAATGTCAATACATTGATAATAAGGATTTTGTGGGGGGGGTTTCTAAGTCGTTTACAGCCTAACAGGCAGTTAGTGATCCCACCAAACAGTCCCTGAAGACAGTCACAATTTTCTTTGATTTTTATGGATTCTAAACATCAGTATCTCCACATGCAGTGGTCCCACAGTGGGCATATAATGTTGTTCCTAGCCATGCATGATCCAATTACCATGATGAGCAGCGAGTGTAGAGTGAGTCTAATGCTTACATGTTTTGGAGAGCATGGGTCTGTGGTATGGATTTGCAGTTCCCTGGAGTCCTAACCGTGGGTGACCTCTGTGCAGGGATTTTGGCTTAGTTAAACCACTGTGTAATGATATACTCAAACCTACTGCATAGATCTGTTATGAGAAACACTGATAATGAATATCCTCCATGAAGGAACACTGTGTGGACACATGCACTTCTACTTAAATTAATTTAATCTGTTCTGATAATTTACCTTTTCATGATTTTTCTCTCTATTTTCTGCACTTTTAACAAGAAAAATCCATAACACATTTATTATAGTCTAATTGGCTATAGGTTATTCTGACAGTTTTATTATGTTGTATAGGCTTTTATTTTGTATATTAAATAAACATTATGTAAGGTTTTACTCAAAAGTATCTTTAAAATAGCCTTTTTTTTGCCCTTTCCGACTAAAGCATGGCTTGAGTTGCAAAAGGATCTCAGTAGATCTGCTGCCATGCATCCTTAAGTCTGTAGCTTATTTTACTGAATCCCCCTGTTCGCCTGATGTGACGTCAAGAGCATCCATGTTAAATTGGTCCAACCTAGCGAACAATGAAAACTTTATATTTACAATAGGAAAGAAAAAAATCCCTTTATTGTCCCACAATGGGGAAATTGCAGATTTGATAGATTTTTATGGACATTCAGAAGCGACCAGTAACCAGCTCACTCAGACAACTATAACAAATCCACAAAATGTGAAAACATTTTAAAAAACAAACAGTTCTGCAGCTCTCCGTTTTGGCCACAGGTGGCAGTATCATTTGAAATCACCAATCCTTTAATGATTCATCATTTTAGATTACGTTAGAACCAGGTAGCATGTTTTTAAGATGCATTTATAATTTTTTTAAATAACTTTTTATTATAATCAACAGCTTTCTTGACCTTGAACATTATGTGGTCCAATCCACACCTATTTTCCTGAAGTTAACGGCAGTGAACATCACTGGCGTCTTACTATCCTGTTGGGTTGATCATTTCCGTTTTTATGAAATCAAATTGATAACAAATTTTCCTTTTCATTAGTAACTTAGTAGCCATGGATTTGTCCTGCTTTTGTTTACCAAAATGGTGTGTTGCTTTGCATGATTATTTGTTAATTCAATATGAAGGAACCATCAAATATATTTATTTTAAAGTCTTAATTAGAATAGGCCAGCTTAAATCTGATTAGTGCGTCATTTATACAGAAGGAAAGCTTGCTGTGTTAAAAGCTAGGAAAAATGTACAAATAAATTAGTATGATTTTACTTGTTTATGTTTATATTTTTCACAAATAGTTGATAGTTGGAAACTTTTTAGTAGCCTTTTAATGGTTTCAAAACTTGAAAAGTAAGTTTTCAGACCCCTATTGACTTTTTTTTTTTTAAATGGCATAAAAAACATTAAAACATTTTCTGATATAATATCCATTATATAATTATTACTATATCATTAAATCACACATGACTCTTGACATTCTTAATGAGAAGCAGTTGCTGCTGTTAGATCCTTCCTCCACGTAGAGCATTCAAAGGCAGCTCAGCTCTCGCCCCGCAGTGCCTCCATGCTGTTTTCGGAGCAGGAGATGTTCTTTGCTTCACTTTTAACCTGGATGCTGTTGTTACAGGCTCCTGGTTTGGCTGCAAAGTAAAAACAAACAAGCCAGACTGAAGCAAACTAGACCAAAAATCTAAAACAAATGGAAATTGCTGAACGTTCTTTTTTTAAAAGTGCTTACAACCATCAGATTGGGTTACTTTTTGTGGTCCAAACCCTTATTAAAAGAGTTGAGTTGTTTGTATAAATCACTTTTTGGCCTTGCTGTGTATAAAAGAAGCTTTGTATTCATAAAATCATTTAAATATAATATGTCAGGTTAACAATTTTTACAGCTTTAAACATATTTGGGGTGTTTTTCCACTTCTCTCTATCTTAACTTTTATAACATTCTACCTCTCATCACAACTACACAATGCTTCATGCTGGAGATCAACACGTCTTAATTGTGTTGATCTTAAATGTGAACAGTTAAAGGTTCTCTAAAAACTTTTAGACCTTTGCTCCTCCCACGTCTCTGTTACACGCTGTAATCTTTTCCTAAATCTTCTCTGAGGGCCCTACAGGGGCGGAGATTTTTTTTATGACAGAAATATTCTGAACACCTCTTCATTCACGCTAAAGCATTTAATCAAAAAAGGACTGAGGGCAGATTTGATTTATGTGATTTTTTTTGTTTTTCTTATTGATTTTAAGCAGCCTACTCTGTTGTATAAAGAAAGTGAATCCAAGGTTTACAGGGAAGCACTAAGGTAGATTCTTCTTCCCAGCAGCTGTTGGACTTTATAACCCTCACTTCTTACCTAAACACTCAAACCTAAAGTGCTTATATCGCTGCTGGGTGTGCAGAGTTTTTCAATTTCTTGTAAATAAACAGTTTTTTTTCTTTTAACATTTTGCATGTTTCTTTGAGTCTGGGGATGTTTCATGAATAACTGTAAACCTTTTTTTCCTTATGTTTGAAAAAAGGCCCTTAGTCTACAGCCTCTTATTATTTGATTTTGTTTTTTTATACTCTAACCTGTGTGAATCTTCCATTTTCCTTTCAGTTTCCCAAATGACAATAAATGCTTATCTTTCTTATCTTTTTTTAAACCAATTACATCACAGACTTACAGTAGGTTACGTTCTTTTGCTCGTAATTTACCAAGACTAGATTTTTGTTTTAGAAATAACATTTGGAAACACTTGATAACAGCACATGTGAGATTCCTGCTCTTAATCCTTTCCCCTTAATTTTATTTTTTCTTGGCAAGCTGCTGAAATCCATTTTGAGCTGAGATAATTATACATCCTGATATTAACTAATGTGCAGCCAAACCACAAGTTTCAAGATCTCCTGAAACTAAAAACTATTTTACCACAAGTTACCAAATAACCCTTCAAATGGAAATCTGTGGCAAAGGCACACTTTGAGCAGGAAGTCGGTGTAAAACACCATTTTAAAATGAGCCAGACTGTCAATAGCATTTGATGTTGACAGATAAAATCTGCCAAATTAAAAAGATATACTCGCTCTGTTTTTCAGTTGAAAATATGGATCTTTAGCTCAATCTGAGATCTTAAAACTCTCTCCATTCTCTGGAGTAATATAGAAGAGGCAATGTTTGGTTTTTAGAAAGCAAGGTACAGGTTTTTTGACATTTTAATAATTTACCAGGGCTCACTTCAAAGAAATTAAAGAAGGGTAAAGGAGATGCTGACAGTTTGCTTTTTACAACTTTCTTCAGGTTGCATTTTTAAAGCAGTTGCCATAAATTCACAAGAAGCATTCTTTCATAAACTGGTTATGCTACATCTGTTGATTATGCTTTTTCTGTCAAAGGTTTATCTTCTCTTTAAGGTTTAGGACTGCACTCATCTCTGAACTCTTGTTCAAACACATATTTCTGTCTTTGAAGCCCCTTTTTCCAGCTTTATGAGGCCCTCCTGGCTTTATTGCGTCATATATTACAAATTATTTATCCTAATGCAAGCAGGTGTTCACAAAACATCTGCTAAGCTACATACCCATATTGGATTTTTATTCACATGAAGGAGGGGAAGGTGTTTCATCCAGCTGAACCACTTTGGAATCCCTTTTCCAGCCTCTGTTAATTCACCTCAGGGCTTTTCTTCTGCCTGCTCCTTTAAACAGGCCTTGTGTTTGTTCTCTAAAATACTTGTCGTATTTCGGTGACATTTGTTTACACTCTTGTACTTTAGGTGAACACCCACCAAGATTGTAGATGTAAATTTAGACTGGCTAAATTGTTTCCAATCTAAAACTAAAATAAACCCAAATGGGATCCCTTGAGGTGTTTTTCCTTCCACTTACTTTAAGCACTCTACTTATCCTCCCCCACCTTTCTCTACAGATGAAGCTGTGGAACAAGTACAAGGTAACCAGCATCCCTTCTCTGGTGTTCGTGGACGCCACTACGGGAAAGGTGGTGTGTCGAAATGGTCTCCTGGTGGTCAGAGACGACCCTAAAGGTGAGAACTAGCCTATGTATGTGCACAGTCCTCTTGCAACGATGTATTTCCATTTCAGTCATTTAAAGCTCTAACCATAATTCACTTAAATGAATGGTTAACCCTAACCTCCAAAGCATTCAACACTTAAAAACATTTTTATGAAGCAGACAAACACATCATAGGGTCAAAAGGACATTAGAAACTATAAATTTTCCCTGTCATGGTTTAATTACCCTCACATCTTGGTGGGAAGCATTCTTCAGCTGCTCTAGGCTGTGGGAAACAGCCAGTCATTCTGGTTTTAGATTAGATTATCTGCTGTTACTATATGCCTTTAAAGAAAAACAGTTTGTGAAAGCAATAACTGCTGTAAAAAAATAAAAAATACCAGATGAATAATTTTAAATGCAGCATTTATGGCAAATTTACTGATGAGTTTATGTAAGCATTTGGGAAAGCTGGACATTTGATTGCTTATTTGTATAACAACTTTCCGTTTTTGAAATGGGAATCACTTACTTTAATTGAACCAATGGTTTAAGCAAAGATCTCTGCTGAGATAACATAAATAATAAGCATTTAGAAACCTCAGCTTTTACAGGTTGACTTTCTGTTCGCATCTGCTGCAAATTTGCTTCAAACCACCAGACAGCCAAGGTGGTGTTAGGATACTTCTAATGCCTGTTGATGCTCATTCAGTACATACAGAATGTGATATTTAAAGCGCTTTCCTGCCATTGAAAGATCAAGTTTGTGGGAAATAGTGATAAAATGTTAATAAAAAGGGGTCAAAATAAAGTTGATACTCTATATAAAAAATTATATTTATAATATTGTTAAACATTGTATTTACCTTGTATATTAATGCACACTCACATATATGTAAAGGCAGCCTGATATATTAAGCACATTTTTAAAATAATTGGTCTGACGTAATTGTTATAAAATTTGGCTTTGGATTTCTATATAGGGAGCCTTATGTATAAACCTCTCTATATAAAAGGTCAGAGCAGAAACTTCCTGCTGAGGAAACTCATCAGGAAGACCTTCTGAAGACCTTCTATGACTCTGTTGTGGCATCAGCCATCTTCTATGGAGCTGTTTGTTGGAGCAGTGGCTTATCTATAGCTGAGAGAAAGCAGATGGATGAGCTGATCAGGAAGGCCAGCTCTGTGATTGGATGCCCTCTGGACTCAGTGCAGGAGGTCGGGAAACAAAATGATCCACTAAAATAACATCTTTGTTGGATAATGTTTCCCATCCGATGCATGAAGCTGGTGCTGAACTGGAGAGCTCCTTCAGTGACAGGCTGCTGCACCCTAAATGCACCAGGGAGCGTTATCACAGATCCTTAAGTTACATTCATGCTAATTTTTGCACAGTTTCTACCTTAGTCAGTTAAATAACATGGTGCTGTCATTTTGCTCATCTCGGATGTTGCTGCTATTTTCAAATATTAATTACTCTAAAAATGTCCATAGCTGTATATTGGTTATTTTTTTGCTCCAGGTGCACACTTTTATATTGTTAAAACACTTTACAGTACGGTATTTCATTGTTCATCTTTTAACTCTTCACTAGTATGCTATTCTTATACATTTTTCTAAGGTCCATATTTGTGTGATAATTTATTCTATAATCATGTTGCTGCTGTAAACACCAGAATTTACCCATTGTGGGACAATAAAGGGATTTTCTCTTGTATTCTGTTCTATTATATCCTCTGCAACACATTTTGATAGCAAGACCTTGTTGCTATTGGTAACAAATAGAGGTGAAGATTAGAGGTTTCAGGTCTTAAAGGCTCAGGGTAGCATAATAACAACATGTCTAATGTGGACAAATATTTTTAAACTCCTTTTAAGAAATGTGAAAGTATGAGGAAAATGACTGTAATTTCCAGAAGGAAAAAACAGCAACTATTTAAAAATTAGTTTGGAGTTCAACTAAATTAGAGGCACTTATATATAGAACACAGATACCTATAGCTGAATACCCAGAAAAAGTGTTTTAGTACCTGAATGTCAAATGTTTGTCTAGTGTGGCAGTATCTCCAGTCAGCGACCATAAAACCTGCTGCAGAAATGGAGGATGCTGCAAAATGGCCGATTTAAAATGATGGAAAACTGTTCTGGAAAATGTGATTCAAATGGTGCTCCCACTGTGTGCACAGCCTTAGCTCCAGGGTGACACAAGACTTTAGAATACCTTGTCTGGCATGTTTTATCTCCTCTTCCAATAGCGCTTTAGCCAATGTGTTTTTTTTTTTTCCAAAATTACCAAACTGACAGTTATTAAAACAGACTGAGGAAAGTGAATTGGAATTGACTGAGAAGAAGGTCAAATGCTAAAGCTGAATAATTCAAAATAACATTAACTAAAAAAACTGGCAAAAGTTCTATTACTACTATAGTCCTTGTTGTTTTGCTGTGTGATAAAAATAAGATGAGTGTTGTTGTTTTTATTATTGATAATGCAGATTATTACTATTACCACCACTAATAATGAAAAAGTAAAACCAAGGAAACCACTGTTCTTGCATTCCTGGTCAGGATCTAGAGCCATCTCTGTTTTTCCTAACATTTTCTCCTTGTTTGAGTTGATGCAACTATAATTGTGGTTCTCCTTGATTATTATGGTGTGTTCATTTCACAGCGGCTTGTCTGGAAAACCTATAATTCATGCACTTTGAAGTGGAGATGGTGAATTAACAAGAGCGGGCTTGTATTTCTCTTCCGTAACGTGACCGTCTTCTGCGGCAGAGGAAATCAAAATCTCTCAAAAGGCCTCGTCTCTGTGTCATGTATGGTCTGTTTGGTGGGAGAAAGAAAACATGTCATTGGAGAGGAGAGACATGAAAACAGACAATGAAAAAAAGAGAATCCTGGAGCAGAGGTTTTTCCTTAAACTTGATATATATGTAGAAAAGCTTAATCTAGAGCGATGAGCATTTCCCTTATTTTTATATTTGAGCGTATTGGTTCGTGACAAATCAATTTTTCTTATATCCAGTTTGATGCAGCAAAAGGGCAGTAAAGAAGTTTCTGCTCACTGAAACTGGGAGGGGCGGAGGTGGTTTTCAGGCCCCTCTCTGCCTTTCACTTTTAGTGAAAGGCCAGCCTTGAGTGGCGGCAGACTAGCCTGCAGCATAAAGATGGAGTGCACTTTTACAATCAGGACAACAATGAAAGGGAACTCCAGTGCAGCGCCGATGTGTCCTTCCTTCCTAATGAAGCACTAGACTACCACACTCGCATAAAGGGGCTATTATGATCAGCGATACAAGGTTCTTTTTTTTATTTTTTTTTTATCATAACCCCCCACCCCTTTTTCAATTGGGCTGTACGGAATGCATCTCCAAAGCTGGGGCAGGACAATGAGAACACGCTGAAAGGAAGTGAAAAGTGTGAAATGGAGCAAGAGGGAAGAATTACGTGCAGCAGTAATTTGCTTGAGAGGATTGGCTTTTTGTGTTCATTATAACCTTTTCTCGTGTTCAAGGTCTGCGTTTTAAAAAGCTGATTTCACAAAATAAATTAGCTGTCTGGAATCATAGGACTCCTCAGGTTTGCCGGTCGCTAATCCATCAGCCTATATTTAATTTATTTTATTTATGTTTATTTCTTTCTGGTCTGCATGTAGGATGTAAGTAATCATTCAAGTTTATCATTGTATGGATTTAGTTTTTATTTGAAAATAAGCTCAAAATTAGGCCTGCCAGTATAGATTTTAGCAGATTATTACGGTAATATGTTTTTAGGAACAAAAAGTTCTCAAGTCCAGCAATTCAGTTCAGAAATCTAAATTTAAACCTTGAGTGATACTTTTTAGGTTTTATCTAGAACACATTTCTCTTAAACCTTTTAATCTAGTTTTTTGTTGTTCTCCATTTTGTATTTTCAATCCTGCATTGAAATCTGTAGTTACAGTGGTGTGAAATGGGTTGCCTGTTGTCATGGTTACTTGTCAAAATCTGAGGCTCCACTGATAAAGGCTTTTCATACTTGTTACGCACATGTTCAACACTGAGTGGACCTACTTAAAGTGATTAAACAACAGCAGATGTTGTGAAACAGAAAACTAATTCCCAACCTTAGGCTAGATTAATTCAGAGTTGAGGATTTGAGTTTGCTAAACCTGCTTTGTGACTTCAAATGAGGCATGGCTCAACTTTGCTGTGTTTTTGTCTTAAGAATAATACTTCTGAGGCCCATTCCACAATCTGCTGATCAAACAAGAAAGCAGAGTAATTGAAGAAGGAGAGAGCAGAACAGACACCAGAGGCTGCAGACACACGCTGTGCCTTATTTATAAACTTATGAATGGATTTTAAAGAAATCGTTAAAAGAGATGTGCCTGAATAAAGGGAACAATTCATTAAAATTTGATAATGATCAACATCCTGAGCAAGTTTTAGGTTTAAGTCACGATTTGGGGCAAAATTTGCTGCTTGCTTGCTTACTTACGTTTTTATGCTTTTCAATATTGCTTGATTGTGGTCATGAAGAACTAATGTTGTGCTCAGTTGTCCTATCACTCTGTAAATCCAATCCAATTAAATTCTTCAAAGTAACCTTTTTTTTGTCTTAAACCAAGTAATTAGTCATGTGCAAAGCTTTAATCCTGGAAGATCATGGAATATTAAGAGTTGCACATCTTAATTACATGGGAGTTTAGCTATTTATTAAATAAAAAACAAATGAAATAGAGATGTGACCTTTTTCTTTTGATGTTTTCAACAGCTTTTTAGTAACGATCAGTGTCAATACGGCAGTGAGTGTTGCAAACCGTAGCAGGCTCTACAAGTCATTTCTAGATAGTAATAGTCCTACCTGGTGTTAAAGTCTCATCAGGATGCAGATCTGTGCATACATGCATAGATGCCCATCTCCAAGCACAGTCTCGGCGTGAAAAGGTTGGATACAGATGGAGTCCATCGCAGAGACACACTTCTCTCTTTTTCAGTTCTTATATATATATATATATCTATATATATATATAGATATATATATATATCTATATATATATATAGATATATATATATATATCTCAAAACAGTTTCTGTATTTACAGTATAAGGAGCCAAGGTGTTGTCCCACTGTATATAATAAAAAACCAGACACTGTTATTATTTTTAATAGCCGTTTACTCCTTCTGGGCCTCCTCTTACTTTATTTTGACCATAGCAGTGATGAGAAAAATGACAAGCTTCAATTTTTTTTTTTTTTGTTCTTCAGTAAAAACTTTCACAATGAAGAGTGTTGCCAGAGAAGTGGTGAATTCACTTTTTTAGGTTAAACAATGGAGGCTTAATTTTTCCTCTCCACCTA